ATCGACCCAGACATGAACCCTAACCCTAACTCGCAATTGGTAAGCGGGGAAGATGAACAGTGGGTTCGGTCAAACCCTAACCAGCCGGATCTATGACTGGGGAAGGGGAAGAAGCAAAGAGATAGAGGGTTTGAATACTAACTCAAACCCTAAGCATCAACCCAAACCTTAATTCCATCGGGGAAAATGAACAGCAAAACCTAACCCTAACCCTAACCCTAACCCTAATCCCCAATCAGCAAAGAACTAAGAAGAACACAACAAGATCCAAAGACAGAAGAGGAAAAGGGGAAGAGGCCTACCTCGGCGCTCCACCACGCTGCCGCCTCGATAGCTGCGAGAAGTACTCCGAGCCGATGCTCGTCGGGCCTGCGTGAGCTTCATGCTAGGGCGCTTCTTTGCCAGTTTTGCTTTCGGACGGTGGCGCGCTCACCCATTGGGAGCACGCATGCCGCAAGCAGGGCCGGCACGGCGGTGCCATCTCTCTCTCTCTCTCTCTCTCTCTCTCTCTTTGCTCTCTCACTCGGTCGACGGCTATCGTCGTTGAGAGAGAGAGAAAGGGAAGAGCAAAATGGGGGCTAGGGTTTTGGGGCAGCGTCGATCGAGCGTTTTTGCTCGCACGAGAACCACGCGGAGCCGTCCGATTAGATCCGACGGCCAGCATTGCTCGGGCTATTTTTGGCCTAGGCGGGGAAGCAAATTCTGGCCCGTGCCCGGGAGTTGTGGCTTGATGCTGCGCATGCACACCCAGATCCCGTTGGGCATGAGCCGGGTTAACGTCTTCTTCTTCATGACTAGGCCACGGCTGGGCCACGCTACTTTCTTCTTGAACCTGGTCCACCGATTTGCTTTCGCCGGGTCGGGCGAATGAGTAGTAAACGCATATTTTAGTTTTATTATTTTCAGTAGCAGTTTTGATGAATTGTCAAGTTTTGTATCTCTGTCAAAATTTGAACCAACGGGATAATTTTTTAGAGAGTAGATGAATAAAGTAAAATGCTTCTGAAAAGTAGATAGAGAATTTTTCAAGTTTTCGTTGCAAAGTTCAATGTTGATTATCTTCTAATTAAATTTGAAGCAACGGTAGAATTTAATTTGAAGAACAGTTATATTTAGTAAATTAAGATTATGTTTTATCCTCTGATTAAATTTAGAAAATTTTAATTGGAGGAGTAGCCAAAATTTATTTAAGTTAATTACGATATTGTTATTTTCTGACCAACGTTGATGATAACAATATTATGATTTTATTTATAAGTTTTCCATGCATTAATTCTATTTCTGACCAAAGGTGATATAGAATTACTGTAGAAGAATGATGTATTTATGATATTGCTATTTTTCTGACCAAAGTTGATAATAGCAATATTATAATTTAATTATGAGTTTTTCTATGCATTAATTCTATTTTCTGCCCAACGGTGATGTAGAATTGATGCAGAAGCATATTGTATGTTTTATTTTAACCGACAAGATCACTCGGCTGCATGCCAATGGGCTGCAATGCTGGGATACGTGAACGGAAAGGCTTGAGTCAAGTCAGTTCAGGATAATTTTTTATTAGTTTACTAATTTTCTGATTAAATTAGAACCAATGGGAAGATTTAATTGGAAAATAAAGTATAAGTGAATGTTTTAGTCGTTATAACTAAGTTTTCGTATAGATGTATCCCGCATGGGGAGAAGTTTTGGCATAGTACTTATGCTAGTCAATCCTACATGGTGGGAGAAGTTTTGTGATGATTCACATGTTTTGTATCCCACATAGCGAGAGAAGTTTGGATAGCTCTTATGTTGTCCTAGTATTGACTTTGACTCAATAGAAATGCATCGTCATGGTCAATACTAACAAAGACTTGCAAAAGTACTGCTAATGAAAGATCTCGTTGAGTTCTTAAAGTGAATTAAGAAAAGTGTACTCCTAAACGGATCAAGAAATAACTTTGTTTATATGACATAATCATGTGAATGAAGTTAAAAAAGCGTCTCCTCGTTTACAGACTTTCTGAATAGTTATCAAAATTATGGCAGTAAAGTTCATGCCATATTTCGAGGGGAAGAATATAAAGATTAATTAAGAAAAATACTCTTCATTAAGAGTGAGATAAAGATTAATTAAGATGAATGCGATCGTTGGAGGAGTACAATTGTCACAACGTTGATATCCCTAAACAGAGAAATAGCTAAATTCCTAGACCTTTTTTAAGTTCTGACAGGAAAATAGTGTAGTCAGTCTCAAAGATGTTAAGGTGGTGCTTAAAGCGCCATATGAGAGTTTAACGGATTAAACCTAAAATAAGATATTTGAAGATACACTATCTTTAGAAAAGATGGAAAGATCTGGAGGAGCATGGTATGTAGAGGTATGTAGAGACCTAAGACTTGAAGAGAAGAGGGACTGTGTGCCCACTCCAGTGACTTAGGAGCAATAAGTTTTCTCAATACCTATTGATGTTGTATGACAATACAACACCTGTTGTTAGCTCTACGAAGAAGATGAATAGTATAAACAAAGATCTTGTGATACAGGAGCCAATAGAATCAATTGCCTCTTGACAATGAAGAGCAACAACAGCCCCATATGAAAGTGCTAGTAGCTGAGGCCACAGAAGGTCTAGCTGAGGTCCCAGAAGGTCTCAAAGAATTAGTAAACCAGTTTTCTAAGGACTAGGAAGTCTATGTTAATAAATAAATTCAAATAGAAGGTGATCCCACCTTATTTGAAGAAGCCATAAGAAGTATTTACTCTTTTAAATGGCAAGAAGCTATGGAAGTTGAAATGAATTCGATGAGTACCAATGATGTTTGGGACTTAGAAGTAATTCCTAATGAAGCCAAAACAGTAGGCTGATAATGGGTCTATAAGACAAAATATAACTCCAAAGAGAATATAGAAAGATATAAAGCACGACTTGTGGCAATATGCTTTAAGCAAAGAGAAAGAATAGATTATAATGAGAGTTTTCTCTCCAGTCTTATGTAAGGATCCTTTTAGAATTATAATGGTGTTAATAGCACATTACGATTTATAGTTACATCTGATGGATGTAAAGACGGTATTTCTCAATGGGGATTTATATGAAAATGATTACATGACACAACTCAAAAGGTTTTGTTGTGGAAGAAAAGAACATATGTGATATCGCCTGTAGAAATTCATTTATGGGTTAAAAATATGTCTCTAGACATTAGTATTGAAGTTGATGAAAACAATAAGAAAGTTTGGGTTTTAAAGAAAATGAGAATGATGATAGCGTTTATGCGAGGATCAAGAATGGAAAATTCATTTTCCACATCCTGTGAATAGATGACATTCTACTCCTTAGTAGTGTTGTTAATCTGTAATTAGAGAAGAAAAAGTTTTGTCCTCAAGTTTCAATGTGAATGATCTTGGTGAAGTTTCATTTGTTCTAGGAATCAAAATTCACTAAGATAGAAGAAAATGGGTTATTAGGAATATCGCAAATGCATACTTAGAAAAGATTCTAAAGAAGTAAAGTATGCATGCTAGTAAACTTACGTCTGCTCCTATAGTCAAGGGTAATAGTTTTAGGAACTTTAAGTGTTTCAGGAACCGATATGAGATCGATCAAAAGAATATGGTTTCATATGCTTCAGCTGTTGGAAGCTTGATGTGTGTACAAGTAAAAGTAAGAACTTACCCTGACGTAGTTTATGTATCCGAGATATTTTGGTAGAAGTCCAGTTCAGATATAGATCAATGGAATTGAGTTGAGAATGTCTTGCATTTGTGCAAAGTATTATAGATCTCATGCTTAGTAAGAAAGAATAAGAACTCTCAAATAGTTGAGGGTACAAAAGTTAAGTCTTGGCGAGATGTGTAGTGAAATCTACAACAGCTGCTAACACTCACAGTTGGAGTATTATTGTGGAAAAGCTCCAAAGAAACAGTTATGGTGTCATTAGTGATGCATACCATAGTATAGTTTGTTATGAGGCTTAAGGAACAAGCAAAAGAGGTTTAGGGAATATATACCCGGACATAACAATGGTAGACAACAACAATAATCATTTAAAGTAAGTTAACTCCTAAGACAGCAAGTCAATTGTGCTGTCAAACATATTGACACTAAGGTATATGTTGTAAAGGAGAAAATCAAGAATCATTTTGAAAGCATTGAGCACATAAGTACCGAGTAACTACTTACGGACCGCTTAACAAAGGCTAAGCACTCAGTGCGTTCAGAGAACACACAGTCGACATGGGTTTATGGGAAAGCCTATGATTTCTGGATACTGAGGGCCTAATTGAATATCTGTTTCAAAACAGAGAGGTGCGTTGTAGCTGTTTAATCTAATGGTAACATACCATGATGATAAAGCACGCTCTATGCACTGATCTGTGATAGAACGGGAACAAGATAAAGTAAGTACGTTAAGTTTAAGGAATAAGGTGAGATCAAGGGGGAGAATATTAGTTATAATCTCCACTAATTGGCCGGGCCCTTGGATCCGCGTCCTGATCAGGGGCGCCAACCGCTCTATGGTTGGTGGGCCCCCGTCGTACAACACCATAAAAGGGAGGTTGGGGATGGGGCACACGACACGAGGTTATCCTAAGCTACCAGGCGCCCCACCGACCATTTCCTAACGCGAACCGATCCAGAGAGAAGGTGCTGCCAGCAACGGGAAGCCACCACCGACCTCACCGTCGCCTCTGCATCGCCACCACCGCGCCTACGCTACCACGACACCGGCGTCCACTTTGCTCCGGCGCCATGGACCTAACTGTGTTAGGACGAGGTACATAAACAGTTTTTCGTCTAAGAGCAGTTTATCCCCTAATCTACGTTTTAGAGGTACTGCAACCTCTCACTCACATGTATACCCGTTGATCCCATCATAACCCATGATCTGGACATGCTGTATATATGGCCTATATAAATTACTCCTGAACATGATCACAACCAGAAAAAGAAAATTAAAGAGCGCATAAAACAATCACAAGCACGGTGAAAATCAACAGGGGAGTTAAAAAATTACGGCCTGCTGCAGAGAGCTGCTTCCAGCCCTTGACAAGCCAACGCACTGCTCCACACGTCGTCGTCGCTGGCGAAGCCGTCCTGAAGGTTCATGGCGTCCTCGGGTAGCGAATCGAACGGCTCGTACTTGGCCCCAAGATGCCACGTTGACGGTAGGACCAGATCCCCGCCGTCCGGAGGCAAACCCAGCGAGTCGTAGCAGCACGGGTCCACGCTGAACGCCCCAAGCGCCGCCTCCGCACACGCGTCGTCGGGGCACTGTGGCGGGGCGGCGCTTGGCTCCGCCGCGCTCGCCGTCGAGGACAGCTCGCCAAACCCGCCGTCCTGCGTCGTGAACGGCTGCTGATCCCGCGGTGGGACGACGACGGGGCTCACGTCTTCACCTGACGACGACCCACTCAAGGTGTCGAGCGATTCCGGCACGACGGCGGCGGCGCACGGCTCGGCCGCCGCCGCAGGCTGATGGTTCAAGAACTTGGCGTACAGCAACGCCAGGTCGATCGTGGATCCCTCGGGCGCCACGACGGACGGATTCTCGGCTGCGTCGTCCGTCGTCGGCTGCTGGCACAGGCCGACTGGGCTGCCGATCATGCCTTCCAGCAGCAAGTCCGGCCGCAGCGTGGCGGGGGACGACGACGACGACGGCGACGACCGGTGCGAGAACGCCGCCGCCGCCGCTGCGCCACCGCTGGCCGCCGCCACGGCAGCGGCATCGACGGCGGCCATGGCTCGCACCACCGGCTTGCCCCGGCGGTTCTTCCGGCAGCCGCCGCCGACGGGCACGTTGCGGAGCGAGCCGCCCTTGGTCCAGTAGCGGCGGCAGCCCTTGCAGAAGTAGCGGGGCTGGCTGAGGCTGTAGTTGTTGTAGTAGCAGAACTTGGTGTTGGGCGAGTCGCAGCGCGGGCAGCTGGGCGCCACCTCGACGACGTTCGGGCGGTACCGCCGGTGGTCCAGCAGCACCGCCGCCCGCCGCCCCGGCGCGTAGGGCAGCATGTTCTCGCAGTGAGAAGACAACATCCGTGTAAGTGTAACGACGGTGGTGTTGCGGTGGTGCGACGAGAGGAGGATGTTGGAGCTCTCGAGCAGGTGGTGCGACAAGGAGAGCTTCATTTGTCAGTGGAGATCGAGTGGATGGGCCGTTTTATATGTGTGGCATGTGTGGCGAGACGAGACGAGTGGTGGTTTACCCTGCTTCGTTCTAGTTTCTTCGGTGGGTGTTGGTGCATGTGGCATGCGATCGAGCCTGTGTCTGTGTGTGCGCTGATCGCCACGGATGCGTCCAAGCTGTGGCTTGCAGACATGAGTGACCTGCAGCTAGCGTACGTCGTGAAATGGAAAACTGGCAAATCAAAAGGTACCAGCCCCAACAACCAGTGTTTGTGCAGTCCCTTTTAGCTGCTACAGCTACAGCCTACAGCGATGGTACGGTGATATATATCGCGTACGTAATGGCGCCATGACGATTACAGCCATGCACGCACAGTGCAGTGCGATCCGTTGATGGGAATGCAGAAGAAACTTTCAGGTTAAAAGAGAGCCTGAGCTGGAGTTTTAATTAGCACAAGCCACAAGCGATAAGATCGGCATCAGGAGGTCACGATCGCTAGGGTTAATATATCGCGACTTTGGAGGAAGCAAAACACTGTTGCATCTCTCCCTAGGCAGCTACTTATATATACGTAAATACTACTGCTACCATGGTACGTAATCGTATGCGGATGAATACATTACAAGCTACTACTAGCGCTGTTTGCATGATTGGCGATTTGGCGCTGCTCATGTGAAGGTACTCCAAAAACGAAGCAGAGGCAACGCCATGGGCACATGGTGCGCGCTGGGCGCTGTCGTCGCTCGCCGGCGTGAACTCGGCGCGCGGCCACTGCACGTCGATCGTCGTCGTGTGGTCCAGGTTCCTCACGTGGCGGCGTTACACGTGGACGTGGAGGTATACGTACGGGGCCTCAGGATCGAGCTCGGGGAAGTAGACGACGACTGTTCCTCGGGATCGCCGCCGACGTTCTCCTCTCTTATCGATTGGGTCGCGCTCGCGCGTCGTCGGCGTCGCGCGCGCGTTCATTCCGGCGTTCGGTGTGCCCGCCCCCAACATGTGGTGTGATGGTTGCCTATGATGCACCCCACACGGTTGCGCATCGGGACGCAACGCTTTTATGATGCCAACAGATGGTCTGCGTCACTCATTGGATCGGCCATGCATACACACCTACACATGTGTGCCCGATCTGGTCAATGCAAGCCATCGATCGACGACGTCAGCGTTATGATACCAACAGTTGAAGCCTCCAGCTCAACTCAGCGACGTCAGTGATATTTGCTTCTCGTTCGATCAGAGCATACCTAGCTATACTGCCACAAGCTGCCAATAATTCGTCGGTAACCGGCCAAAGGCCAGGCCGGCCCCTAACGAGAAACGACGCGCTCGCTAGCTAGGGCGCCCATGCATTGAGAGCGAATATGCAGGGCACTGAGATCATGCATCTCACATGCGTGTGTCCTGTGTCGTTCATATTCGTATTCGTAGTCTCATGTCAAACAAGATCGTATTCATATATATGTGGATCACGGCCGGATCACACAAAGCAAGTACACATATATGCCAAACAAGATCATACGTACGTGTTCATCATGTACCGAGCACATCAACGTATACATGACAACATCATTCGATGGATCAATCATGCGCGCGGTGCCGCCGGACGGTCGATAATCCGCGGCCGGACCCAGCACCGGGCACCCACCAATGCAAGAGCAGCTGGACCTCACGCGAGGACGGACGGAGGACATGCCAATACACGTCAGCCCGCACAGTGCTTGCGCACGGCGCCACGGCCCATCCGTCAAAACCAAACCAGGCACTGAAGAAAAGGCCAAGTACGTACGGTACGCCGGTACGCGCGCGCGCACCGGCGGCGACGACAAATACCTGCGCAGCTGCGCTGCGCCCGCCGCGCGACACGGCACCCGCGCACGCAGTCAGTCGATCTCGACCGATCCGTACACCGGCCGTATGTAGGCCATAGCAGCGCCTTGGTAGCGGCCAATAAATAGCGGTACGGTGAGCCCGTGCCCCGATCCGTCACGGCGCGCGGTTGGCGCGTCCGTCCTGGCTCCTACTAGCGCCGGCCCGCGCACCGGACAGCACGGCACAGCCCCGGCCCCGCGCGCGCGCGGCGTGGTCCATGCGAGACCTTGCGTGACGTACGTACTGGTGCCGCGCGAGACCTTGCGTGACTCGCGAACGGCCTTCGTGCGTGCATGACCGGCGGTACGGCGCGCGCCTGGCCTTGTGCTGTCCCCCGCGCCGGGCCGGCCGGCCGGTGACGAGAGCTGCGTCGCGTAGTCTCCATCGACCACCGGTGGGCGACAGCGACGGCGTGCATGCTATGCTACGGTGGCTAGCTCCTCGCGCGGCTGGTGGAAAGATCGGGCGCGCGCGGGCTCTATTAACTTCGGGAGAGCGACCGGTGGCAACGGAATCACATGGGCATGCAGCAGCGCGCTGGAGTGCGTGACTTGGTTCGTCGGCCAGTCGTGGACCGTTCAACCGCTGCGCAGTTGGGGTAAGCCAACGACGGCCGGGCTGTGTTGACCCGGCTGTGCACGGGACGTTTCCGATCCATCACTCGATCTCGGACATACACGAGCGACGGGGATCGAGGAGCGAAGAAACGGATTGGATCTAAGCCACGCCATGGAGCTGAGACCCGACCCACCTCCATCTCGGATCCGTGAGGCTGTTGCGCCACCTCCATCTCGGCGTCTGCTGTACAGGGAGACAGTGAGGCTGTTGCGCCACTGCTCAACCGTTGCGACGTGGTCCGGGCGTCAAGGAGCCGTGCTAACGTGGGCCCTATCCGGACGCCGATCCGTTTGCCGCGACCACGTGCATGGTAGTCGGCTATTGTAAAAGAGATGGGCCCTTGCTTGTCCCTCAGACTGTTCAGGCTGTGTGGGCCTGCTGTTGTTTCATCCATTTACTCGACTGTTGCTGTGGAGAGGGTTTCCATCCTGTTTCTAGCGAAAACTCTTTAAGGTGTTGTTCGGATGCATGTGTATTTACTTCAATCCATATGTGCTGGAATGGATTGGAATGAAACTTAGTTTGATTCCACTCCAATCCACTTCAATACACGTGGATTGAGATAAATACATGCGCATCCAAATAAGACCTTAGATATAGAACTTTATTTTGGCCTCAGTAGAAGATTTACACTCGATCAGTCCATTATTACGGTTTTGCTTTTTTTTTTTCTGGATTTTGGGAGCTCACGAAAGGCAAATAAAATTGGAGACTAACAAACTAAGCACTACCTATTAGAAGAAAACCAACCATACTTAGCGAAAATTGCGCAATCTCCAAACATTCGACATGTCATTTCGTTATAGGTCTGTTTTCTTTCTTTTGTAGGATTGACCATGATCACGTCCAGTGAGTATCTCTAATAGTAACATGTAAATAGGAGTATAGCACTTGGTACCCTCACGGAGGCCATAATTGGCTCAACAGGCGGGGTAGACCATGTCGATTGGCCCAGGACAAATCCAAGCCGAGGGGATGCCACACCGACTTGTCAAACAAGGCATATGCAAGATGTACATAGAAATTGACTCGATCTGTTGTAACTAACTAGAAAACCAATATGTAAACCGATCAAGATGGGACTCTCTATCTGTAGCGTTACCCTGGACAGTACAAGGAGAGGTAGGGATCCCCTAATCGGTAACCTAGACCTCATCCCAATAGACGCATAGTTGCAATCCCCTATTGACAGCTGACCCGATCGAGCAAATGGCATAAAAGCAATACAAACATCATCATGCATTGAAACAGGTAATAAATTTGTGTCACATGTGCTACCTCTACTCTGTGTGGTACATCGATTACTAGTCGACGGTAAAAAAAAACCCCGACAAGTCCATACTATCACTACTGCATAAAGTATTTTTTAGAGGTGATAAAATTGGAATCATTCGATTTCTAGGAGTGTGGTTAGCAACCTTCTCTACCCAAGGGTCTCTAGAATCAAGCGAAATCAAGCTTTCCTGCATGCTTGGTATGCTATCGCCCCTGGAAATGATTTTCGATAAATTAAATTGAAAATTGCTCCTAAGAATAGCAAAAATTGTTATAATTACGGGCCAGTTCCACTAGCTAAGCACCATGACGATGCGTCACATGTCATAAGTCACATATGAATTTTCATGCGAAATACATACGTGTGTTTCTAGGATTTTGATCCGTGACATCTTCTCACGTGCATACGAAACAACCCCTGCCCCTCCCTACTACTACGACATACACCCAGTTGTGACCAAGTAAAGACGCTATCCTTTTTTATTAATTTATGTGAATCTTGTATTGTTTTTTTGGGACCTAGCCGATCTCAAATGAAAAAAATCAACTACACATTCTAAATTACAACTTTAGTATAGAACGTGTCTCTATCAAGGTCATTTGGAAAATTGATTTGAATCTAAAAATCCGAGAACTTAAAAATGCATATTTGGAACACTAAACGATTTCAAATAAAAAATCATCGACTACAAAGTCGTACATCTCATCAAGTCTTATAACTTTGATATAAAGTTTATCTTGGTTCAACTTCATTTGAAAAAAAAATATGTTGCAACTATTTCTAGGGCAGTTTGCATTAACAACCGTGATTGAAAATCGATTTCTAGCCCTCATTGGTGTTAGCAACCACTCCGTAAAATTGCACTTTTTTTTTGAAAATTACACAGTACAACGTAGACGCCCACAACACGCACGCACACACTCACCCCTCCAAACACACGTACGCAAATTATACCCCTACGAGTACCTCCGAAAGACTGAACCGACAAATATCAAGATTCACCCGTTAAATTCTGGAATAAATTCAGGAAAATACGAGCACCCGTGCCAAGTCAAGAACTTGAACCCGGGTGGGCAGGTTCCACCACAAGAAACCCAACCAACCGATCTATGATCAGTTCGCAAAATTACACTTTCTCTAGCAGCACTTGGTTCCCCTTAAAATATAATTTCTTGGGGACATTTGGTAACCACTAATCGTCCATGTAAATTGTAAACATTTCCGAGTGTAATTGGC